GGTAGATTCTGAAATGTTCTGCCCATGCATATTCCAGTATCTGGGTTTCTAGACATTTTTTTGAGCTGGAGGGCTGGAGAATGTGTGGAATAGACAATGATGACTCAGGGTTCCACTGTAATCAAATAGAGGTCTATGAGGGTGAACACTATTTGGTAGTTCAAGTCAGACTGGGTTCAGATGGTCACCAAGAACCCATTACAGGTCTAGGTCCTGGGAAGGGGAAAGTTTATTTCATCCAACTGAATCACACCTTGGAGTTAGCAGCAGGAACCATCTCCATGTTGAGACCCAGCCCAGACAGTGGAAGAGCCCAGGACCTCATTGAAAGATCCAAGTTCAAGTCCCAGCTCTGCTGCTTGGTTGCTGAGTGACGTCAAGCAAATGACCTGCCCTCTCTAAGACCCAGTTTCATCAGTCATAAAATGGGGCCATTGCTAAGCCTGTGGAGCTGAGTGGATGGATAACATTGGCAGCCGATGTCCACTTATTAAATGAATAAATGAAAAGGCTTTGCATTCTGCAAACTTCTCTAGATGTGGCTATTGTTATTTAAGAAGTCACTGTCTCCTGTCCTGATTTTCTGTCTCATAGGTTTGGGTTTGAATTTCGGCTCTAATATCTAATGGCTCCCTGTAAACAATTCTGTCACATCTCCTGTCTTAGCCTCAGTTTTTTCATCTGTAAAATGGGAACAATAAACATATCCACTGTACAACGTTCTGATAGGGGTTAATGGGAATTAAATATGTCCACACGTGGAAGAGGCTCAGTGTAGGATTCAATTGTTAGAGAGTACCCTGTAGGTGATAGTTTTATTTCTGGTAAACCAGGATTTGGCCTCTCTTTCTTGGCCAGATCTGGGAAGGTTTTGCTAGAGTGCTGGGGCTGATGTTTCCCTATATTCCCCTACTCAACATTTCAACCAGTACTAACACAGAGTCTTGCAGGGGTAACGGGACATTCCAGGGAGGGACATCGGTATGGGCTGGCCCAGGAGCAACTATCTGGCCTGCTGGAAGTTGAAAGCTGGCTTGAAACTTTCAGGGAACCCTGCCTAGGCCTTCATTTTGGAGGAAAGGGAGGCCCAGAAAGATCAAGGAGATGTGTCCAAGAACACAGAGATGAAGACTGGGCACTGACTAGAAGCTGCCCAAAGCCTGGTTGGGAAAGCAGAAAGTTCAACAAGCAGACAAAGGCAGCAAGAGTCTTACCTGTGCCTTCTCTTCTTGGAGAATGACCTGATTAAAGGAAAAAAAAAAAAAAGGAAGCGGGGGGGGGGGGGGGAAGGAAAGGAAAGGGGGGGGGGGGGGGGCCGTGAGGAAGGAAAGGAAAGAGAGAGAGGAAGGGAGGGAAGGAGAGAAGGAAGGAAGGACGGAAGGGAAAGAGGGAGAAAGGATGGAGGGAAGGAAGGGAGAAAAGAAACATGGGTGAGTTTGAAGCTTCTCTCCTGGGATGAATGTATCAATGTCTTTGTGATCATGCCACACGGGAGTCAGGACAGCAAGCTCCTGACTAAGTATGACGATTGTATGGGAGACATTGGTTTGCATTTTGAATTTCCAGATCAAAGCCTACCAGTGCTTCAATCCTCACCCCAAGTTGTCAGTAAGTCTGTCCTGGTTGAAGGTGAGGGGGACCTAAGAGACAGCCCTCTTTTCCTCCCTCCCCCCGAGTCTCCTCATCTTCTCTCTCCCTAGATGTGGATCCCCCCCCCCTTCTCCTCATCTTCATCATCACTGGGCCACCAGCTTCCATATGTGGAATTTCCACTGCGTGTCAGGCTTGGTGCTAAGCGCCTCTCACACGCAGTCCATTCAACCTTCCCCCGAACCCTGTGGAGTACTACTAACAACCACTTTACAGACAAAGACACGAAAGCTCAGAAAAGTTAGTTCAGCTGCCCGGCGTCACGCAGCTTCACCTGAGTAGCTCCTACTCATTATTCGGAGATCCACTCAGATGTCATTTTCTCCTTGCAGCAGGTACCAAGCTTCTCAGGCTGGTCAGGTACCTCTTCTCTGCTCCCCCAAGATCTAGGTGAGCTTGAGCTTATCTTTATTAGAGAACAGACCTCTGCATATTATAATTACCCACGTTACCCACAAGAATTTGAGCCACTTGAGGGCAGGGGCTGGGTTTTGGTCACTGTTCCATTTGCAGGACTCAAAATCCTCATTCATAACACATAATGAGTGCTCAGTAAATAGATGTGAAAACGAGAACTTTTTTTTAGCCTTGAAGACCTGTTAATTGAGTGGAGAAAAAAATTCTCAACGCTTCCCCTACCCCTAGCTCCTGCCTCCATAAAGGTCAACCATCGTTAACAAAACATTTCAAGAACTTGGAGAAGCTGGACTGGGAGTAGGACAGTGCTCAGCAGGTGAGAGTTTGGGAAGGATCCCAGACACAGCAATAGTATTTCCCCTCCTTATCTCCATTTTAATGATCCCCTTCCCCTCTAAAGTCCCAACCCCTGGGCTCATGGTAGCCGGCAGAAAAAGCCTGTTACTAAGCTTCTGGCACAGTCTCTTTCTGATGAGAAGAAGGCCTTGAGTGAGAAGACACTTGGCTTCCAGGATCCAGATATGGAAATGTCCCCAAACTGAGAGGAGTTGCTCAGTGTGGGAAGGTGACAAGATGGCAGTCCAGAGCCCTGGGCAGACTGTTGACTCCATGTTGGGAATGATTTCTCACACCAAATTAGCAACATTTCACTAACTAGTTTGCCCTCATCTTGCACCAAGCACAAACTCAGCTAGCATCGATCAGAAAGTCTGGGCAAGTGGTGGACATGACCAGTGAGACCAAGCTGAGTCTGAGACCATTCTAGTAACAACGGCTGACATGTAGCCAAACCCCTGGATTGGGAAAAGCCACGTAGGAGCAACTTTGAAGTGGGCTTGAGATGCACGGGAAAAACCCAAACAACCTCTTATCTTTTATTCTGTTCTTGTTTAATTGCACACGTGATCCATAATGGAGACAGGAAAACCGAAAAATACAAATAAGCAAAAATAAATATAAACCATTCTTTTGCTATTATCTACAGCCCACTGCAGCAAATACCTTATACAGGGAGCTTCAAACTCCCTGCCTCCGAGGGCCATGCAGGCTTTGCAAATGTGCGTAAATGGCTGGAGCAGGCTGGAGGGGTCTGCCGCCAACTGCAGCCCCTTCCCCCCGCCCTCAGTCTAAGTGCACAGCAACTCCTCAGCTTCAGCTGCTGCTGCCTGTGGGAAAATTGGCCCAATGAAGATAGACCTTCTGATATTACAGAGGAACTGGAAGACTGAATTTTTGTATTGCAAAATCTCCCAATTATAAATTGTTGGGCTTGGCTCATAAACCGTAAATTCAAATGCTCTGGTGTAAATCTTTCCAGTCCTTTTTTCCCCCCTGTAAACATACATGTGCACATGAGTGTGTGTGCGTCTGTGTGCATATAGTGGACACCTTCTGGAACATGTGTCCAGTTGATAACGCCCTTTCACTACTGCCTCTGCCTCCACACCCACAAGGGTGGGCAATCCCAGCAGCCATGTTTTTCAGCATGATCCCATGCTCTACGACACAAGTGGACAAACAAGAGAAGCCTTTCCAGGGGAACTTGGAATAAGGGACAAGACAGAGAGATTCAGTGTCTCCTTGTGGCTTGGACTGCAATGTGGAGGGATGGGAGCAGGGTGCAGCCACGTCCCCCATGTGGACCAGGAAACAAAGGGAGCTGCGGGTGCTGCTTGGGTCCTAGTCAGCCTACACTGCTTGGGTCTAGCCCCTTGTCCAGGCTTGGCTGCCTCCTGAGACACTGCTGCTCTCTAACAATCAAGTCCCCTTCTGGCCTGAGTTAGTTTTAGTGAACCTCTGGTCCTCGCAGCCAGAATCCCAACTTTATACAAGACACAAATACATAGTAATACCTAGATAAGTCTTTCACATCAATGACATGATGTGCTTCCAAATGACCTTTTGGTGCCATCTGCTCTCCCCATTCCCTCCCCACCTGGGGTGTCCCTGTTTGCAGAGGAGGAAGGACAATACCTGCGTCGCTTATGTTTCTTGGAACTTTTCTTCTTCTTTTTCTTGACAGGCGACGGGCTATAGGATGGGGACCTGCAGGGGGAGAGGAGACGTACTTCAAAGGGAGGCTCTTTAAGAGGCTTTAAGGTTTGGATTCAAAGGACTCTTTCCCAGCCCCCGCACAGGGACTCAGCTCTTTTAGTAACACACATCAAGGATAATATCAATACTGATATTAGCTTGCATTTTAAAAAAAGTATTACTATGTGTTTTATATGTATTATCTCATTTAATCTTCCACACACTTCTTAGGTAGATGCAATTGCTACCCGCCCTTTTGAGACAAAGAAAATGAGGTTCAGAGAGATGAAGGGACCTGCTCAAAGATACACAGTTAGGAAGTGGATGAGCTGAAAAAAAGTATTACTATGTGTTTTATATGTATTATCTCATTTAATCTTCCACACACTTCTTAGGTAGATGCAATTGCTACCCTCCCTTTTGAGACAAAGAATATGAGGTTCAGAGAGATGAAGGGACCTGCTCAAAGATACACAGTTAGGAAGTGGATGAGCTGGGATTCAAACGGAGACTACTCTGATCCCAGATTTTGTTCTGTACTACATTTAACACCAGGTCACCCCATAGCTGTCCTCCTGGTCAGCACATAAAGGTTTCTTTTTGTATGCTGGTCTTCCTGCAAGTTATGCCCATCTTCTCATTTTCTTTGGAACTCTTCTCCATCTCACTTTGTTATCTCCCTGGTAACACTGAGCCCCTGGACAAGATCTCACCAGGCTGTAGCAGCATGGGTGGTGCCACCAAAGGGTTACCTAAGAAACAGAGCTACCCTAAGTCCA